TCCTTCCTTCCTTCCTTCCTTCCTTCCTCCTTCCTTCCTTCCTTCCTTCCTTCCTTTCTTCCTTCCTTCCTTCCTCCTTCCTTCCTTCCTTCTTCCCTCCCTCCCCTTCCCTTCTTTCTTCCTTCTCTCCTTCCTTCCCTTCTTCTTTCCTTCCATCCACCCTCTCTCTTCTCTCCTCCCCCACCCTTCCCCTCTTTCTTTTCTTATGATTGAGCTTTTCATTCTGGGCACAAGTCATTTTCAATGATTTCTTTTCCACTGTTGTCAAAAATCACTTGACTCAGGGGCTGGGGATATAGCTCAGTGGCATAAGCACCTGCCTGGCAAGTGCAAGGTCCTGAGTTTGATTCCTGGTACCAAAAAAAAAAAAATCACCTGACTCATATATACGTAAGTCTATTTCTGAAATAGTTTATTCCATTGATCTATTTGTCCACACAGTACCAAATGTCATGCTACCTTGCTCTGTTAATTACTATAGCCTCATAATAAGTCTTACCGTCAGGTAATGTAGATCTTTCGACTTTGTTCTTCTTTTTCAAAGCTGTTTTGGTAATTCTTTGTTCTTTAGATTTTGCTATAAATATTAAAATCAGCTTAAATATTCTAAAAGAGTCTGATAATTTTTTAATTTTAAAAATAAAAGAAGGAAAACAACAAACAGACAACCATTTACAAAATAGCAAAAGAACAATAAAAACAATACAGAGTTACAAAGTGGTAGGAAATTAACAAAGCTTGTTGTATTACATATTGATATCTTCAAAGTGGTTTCTTGTGAAAACAGATAGAGACATGCAATATTGATCAATTAAGGACTCACTGACAGTTTCTTTCAGCAAAGAAATAGAAGACAGTAGAACAACTATGTTAACTATCCTGTATATACATACGTACAAAATTTCTCCTTTCCCTTCTCTTTTCCCACATCCCAGTTGCCCTTTACCCTTGAGCATTTTCCTTTTGTTTCACAATGTCTATCTGATGATATTTTAATTATAGTTTCTTTGAATCTATAAATTAGTTTGGAGAAACTGATGTCTTAATAGTAAGTCCTCTGACCCATGAAGATGATATGTCTCTTTTATTTGGATCTCCTTTAGTTTCTATCAGTAGTGTTTTAGTTTTTATTACATAATTCTGCACATGTTTTATCTGATTGTACCTGAGAATTTTATATCTTTTAATACTATTGAAGGTACTATCTTTATTTTAGTTTCCAACTGCTTATTGTTATAATATAGCAATATATTTGATTTTTTTTGCATGTTGATTTTATATCCTATAATGCTGTAAAACTCACTTGCTAGTTCTGGTAACTTTTTTTATTTTTTTGTTTTTATTTTTTTTCCGGTACCGGGAATCGCACTCACTACCTTGCACTTACCAGGCAGGTGCTATGCCGCAGAGCTAAATCCCCAGCCCCTAGTTCTGGTAACTTTTTCTGTAGAATCTATTGGATTTTGTACATATATAATTATGCATTCTATGAATAGATATTGCTTAATTTCATCACTTATAACATGGATATCTTTTATTCATTTTCTTGACTTACCACACTGGCTAGAGCATTTCTATACAATGTTGAATAAAAGGGTTAAGAGTAGACATTTTTGTCTTGTTCCTGATTTTAGAAGGAAAGTATTCATCTACCACCAGTAAGTAGGATGTTACTTTTAGGTCCCTTTTTCTTTCTTTTTTTCTCTTTCTTTCTTTCTTTCTTTCTTTCTTTCTTTCTTTCTTTCTTTCTTTCTGTCTGTCTGTCTCTCTGTTTGTCTGTCTCTACGTTTGTCTGTCTTTGTCTCTCTGTGTCTCTGTCTCTGTCTCTGTCTCTCTCTCTCTGAGCCTGAACACTGAGCTACATCCCAAAACTTTACATTTTTTTTTTTTAATTTTCAGATGGGGCCTAACAAAGTCATTAATTACCCAGGCAGGCTAGGTTTCAATCTTCCCACCTCAGCTTCCCAGAGTAGCATGTACCACCAAGCCTGGCTTTTTCTGCTGCTTTCTTTTGGCTCAGTTGAAGGCTTTCTGGGTTTTTTTTGTTGTTGTTGTTTTTTGTTTTTTGAGATACATTCTCACTAAGTCACCCAAGCCATGTGACAGTGCTCTCAGCTCAACTGAGTTTTTAAATGCTTTCATTTTATGTTCTTTGTTAACTTATTAGATCTATTAGTTGCTTGTGGCTGTTTCAACCTACTGTCACAAATTTTGAAGCTTAAAGACAAATTTATTCTCTTGCAGTTCCAGAGGCCATAATTCCAAAATGGAATTCACTGAGCTGGAAGGAATCAGGAGACTGCACTCTCAGACAAACACAAAAGTAAATTTCAATCTTAAAGGCATTATTCAAATTTAGTAGCATATTACATGTGTGAACTAAACTTTGCACTTACAGAACAACAATATTACATTGCTTCTCTGCTTTACATTTTTAAAAAATTGAGGTTAAAAAGCACAAAGCATAAAATTTACCATCTTAATCACTCCTTAGTGTGCAGCGGCATTAAGTTTGTGGGTACTATCATCACTCCAGGTTTGACAGCCTGCTTGGGGACTAATTTCCCTAACTGGAAGCCCTGTGAGGGCTGAGTGGTCTTTGCCATACATTGCTGCAGGATGCTAAGGACATAGAAGATATCAATGTCTAGTTAGACCTCCTGTCTTTTGAGTTTATACCCATTTTATAATTAACCACGTTTTTTTTCCTCCAGGAATGCAAAATGCTGCTATCCAGGAGAGACTGCAGTTAGCATGGATAAAGCAGCAGGTTGTAAACAAAGCAGAGATGGGGGAAAGAAGACACTCTGATAATCTATTAACTTCTGAGATTCAGGTTTCTGGTTTGTAGAACAGATAGAAAAATAGGTGGTGTGGCAGTGTTGTAAGGATTTTCATAAACTGCTTCAAGCGGTGGGAAACAGGAAGTGCAGAGCAAATCTAACTGCTATTATTAATATCAATTTAAGAATTACTTAGTTTCTGTAAATGGAGAGGGGAGGAGGGGTTGAAGGGAGGGTAGGGGAATGGGAAAAAAAGAGAATCAAGTTATATAATGTGCAAGTACAAATTCTCTATGACGAATGTGATCATTATGTATATTTAAAATGTACCAATAAAATCTGATTTAAGAAAAAAAAAGAATTACTACATATTTAAAAAGTGAAACCGAACTCACTTAGGTGTCTGGTCCAGGCCAATAACCTTGCTCTCTGAGACCAGCTCAGGGGTAAGCGAGTCAGGTCTGGGCGGAGTCTTCAGAAGCCCCGCCCCTTCCCGCCGGCGTCCGGTCGTCCTGGCAACATGCGGCAGCGTCTCAGCCTGAGTGACGCAAATCTGCTAGCATCAGGTGCTGCTGGACACGACCTGCACTGGCTAGGGCCGCTTCGGCATTAGGATGACTGACGAAGATTCTGACAGTGTATACACCGATTCCCAGACAGGGGAGGAGAGGGAGCTGCCCGTTATCCAGTTGTGCGGATTGGTGGAGGAACTCAGGTACCTGCCTGCTGACCTCTGCGGGCTGCAGCTACTCACCTCCTTGGACCCTCGGCCGCACGGTCTCAGACCTTGGCTCCAGCTTGGAGACCATCCAAGACCTCACTGAACATCGGAGAGACCCAAGTGGGGGATACCCCTGCGTCTCCACTGTCACTGAGTAAACACGGTTGATGGGGTCGGGACAGAGTTGAGGGGACAAGAAGGGGGAGCAGAGCCGGTGGTGGAAAGCCCAGAGGGTAGTTGGTGAAGCTGGAGCTTTAGCCTGGTGTGGGACTGGTGCCCGAGTGTGTGCCTAGCGACTTCCTTGTTCTGTCCCGGTGACCTCTATGGCCCTTTTCAATGCTAAGATTCTGCAATAAAATTAATATGGCACCAGGATAGACAAGAAGCTATTGAGAGTGTTTTACTGTGAGGCAGCCACGGGCTTGAAGCAGGGTGTAAGCCTTCAGATGGACAGTAAAAATGCCTGGCCAGTATTCTTCTTCTTCTTCTTCTTCTTTTTTTTTTTTTTTTTTTCAGTCTGCTTTATAGCTACTATAGTAAGTAAACTTAATATTCAGACTGTATGATGTAGTAGAGGTTAATTGTAACTGTACAACTTAGTGGTCTCACACAGAGTATCTAACCTCTGGCAACTGAACAGAGGTACTTCTTTACATCTAAAGTGTAGTACAGATTTGAGGTATTATTGTAATAGCTGCTGTTTTGATTGCTTATTCTGTGTCAAGTATTTTTTATGTCTGACCTTATATCATATGACCTTATATGTATGACCTTCTACAGCAAACCTAGGAGTCACAAAAGGTTAAATCTCTTAAGTTCATTCAGCTAGTGAGTGCTCATTCTAGGACTCAGACTCAGACTCAGAAGTAACTCCACCGGCTACACTGGGAACATAATATATGCTGACAAAGCAAGACACCGTTCGTGTATGTGTGATACTGGGGATTGAACTCAAGGCCTTTCCACCGAGCTACATCCCCAGACCTTTTTTGAAACAGAGTCTCACTAAGTTGCCCATGTTAGGCTCAACCTTGCAGTCCTCCTGCCTTACCCACCCAGACTGCTGGGATTACAGGTGTGCAATCATCATGCCTGGCTTGCAAGACACTTTTATATTTTCTTTTTTCCAGTCAACCTTCTATTTTTTTTTTTGGTTTTGGTTTTTCTCCGGTACCAGGAATCAAACTCATGACCTTGCGCTTGCCAGGTAGGTGCTGTGCCGCTGAGCTAAATCCCCAGCCCTTCAACCTTCTTTACTAATCTTTAAATTCAGACAAGCAGGAGTTACTGCAGTAATATGTGAAAACATCAAAGCCATTCTCTCTCAAATATGAATATGTGTACTATGCACACATATGTATAGAAAACATGTAAGTTGTATATAGGAGAAATTGAGAAGTTAAAAAGCTCATAATCTTGGCTTAGATAGCATGAACTCTATTTCTTATCCCTGTTTGTTTAAAAATGTTCAAAGTTTTCCAGTTTATAATAAACTTCCAGAGGATTCTTTCATCTACTGGGTGTTGGAAATAAAAGAGCTAAGAAATATAAACTAAAGGAAACATCTGAAGATGGTGGGTATGTATAATTTCAAGAAAGGAGTAACTTAGGAGGAATTTTACAAATGAGTTAGATGGTACTTGAAGATGAAAACAGCAACAGGAATTGTCAATTTAATACCAAGGTTCTAGATTTTGAGGTTCATTGAACATAATAATAAAGATATCAAAGTCTTAAATAGCACTTACTTCGTGGCCAAGAACTGTCCTAAAATCTTTGCAGTCCATGTTGACACCCTAAAAGGTAGGTGCTATTTTTATTTACATTTAACGGGTGAAGAATATAAGACACGGAGAGGCTGTGTATCTTGCAGAAGGTCACACATGGCCAATAAATGTTAAGGACTAGTTATCTAGAGTGTAAATTTCTATTAGTATAACTTATTTAGGTTCCCTCTGTCTTGCAGTTATGGAAACTCTGGTCTCAAAAGGGAGACAGAGATGTTTGAGAAATATTATGCTAAACTGGAAACAAGGGATCAGCAACCTTTACGGATATCGGATGCTAAAATAGCGTCAGAATTCGCTCAGGTACACCATGGATTGGGAAGCTCAACAGTTTCCAAGGCCTGGCCAGCCAAATAAAGGAGTGAAGTGGCCCCCATGTGGCCTCCTTTCAAAGGCCCTTTTTGTGTAGGGTCAAAGCTACTTTGAAGCCCACACATTTCCTGCATCATCCATTGGTGACCTATGTCTTAGATCCTAAAATGTCCAAGGGTTTGTTTATTTTCTGTTATTAAGCATTGTGCCTGGAGAGGAACCACTGTGCCCTGGGCTTCTCCTGACCTTAACTGAATGCTGATCTACAGTGGGCTCGCAGCGTTTCCGCCCACAAGTTGTTTTTCTTTTGTTTTCATTTCAGCCAAACACAGGCTTTTGAGGCATTTAGGGCAGGGCCTTAGGACTTATGAAATAAATATTACCTCAGGCTTGATATCCAGCATCATTTCACCATGAGTTTTTTTCTCCTGGGTTTATTCAGGGCAATGTCTAACATGCCTAAGGGGTCATTTTGATACCCATCTTGGGCTGCTTAATTACCAAGTCCTCCTTGACAATGGCTTTGTCTTTCTTGGGTTGCAGTTTAGAGGCCGGCGTAGATCTAAGTCCCGCCCAGGTACAGACCATTTGATGGGCCTCACTGTTGACCAGAAACTTGACCTTGTAAAAAAAGAGCTGGAAGACACTAAGGATGAAATAAGGCATGTGAGGGCTAATGCTGAACGGGACCTGCAGTACCATGAGGTATCCATGTCTCCTACTTCCACCTTATTGAGAAGTACCTGTGATGCTGCCATGCTCCTGTTGGTATTTTAGAAGAAACACAAGTAGCATAACACAAATTGTGGACCTACCTTTACAGAACTTACCACTTGCTTGAGGAGGCAACAGATTTTAAACTTTAAAAACATTTAATTTTTATTAGTACATGTTTGTAGTACAGAATGATTACATTCTTGGGGGGGAAGCGGTACATGTGCGTAACACATCTCAATTGGTTTTTTTTCCTCTTCCCCTCTACCACTCTGCTTTTTTGTCAGCATCAGATTCATTTATTTATCTTATAAGTCCTTATGAAGTTAATTATCGTACATAGAGATTAATAGCCAGACTAACAGGCTAAAAACTATATAAAATACATAAGACAATTATACTAAATCAAGGTACACTTTTAGATACTTTGTCCATGCTGGATTATAATAACTTCTTTTCTCTTTTTGCTAGTGTCTGTGTTTTGTTTTGCACTTTCTCTACTGCACTTTCTATTCAAATAAGAGAAACCATGAGATATTTAAGGTTATGTGTCTGATTTACTTCACTTAACATTATGGTCTCAAGGTGGCATCCATTTTCTTATAAATGACTCAAGTTTATCCTTGTTTATTTGTGGCAGAATAGTATTCTATTGTGTATAAATTTCACATTTTCTTTACCCATTTGTCTGTTAATGGACTTATAGGCTGCTTCCAAGATTTAACCGTTATGAATTGTGCTGCTATAAACATGAGTTTGCATACATCACTGTGATATTATGTCTTTAACTCCTTGGGGAAGATACCTAGAGGGAGAGTTTCTAGTTTTAGTTTTTTGAGGAATCTCCATACTGATTTCCATAGTTGTTGCACCAGTTTACACTCCCATCAAGAACAATGAAGAGTTCCTTTACCTGCTACAGCCCTCCAGCATTTGTTATTGGTTGATTTCTTGATTATAGCCATTCTTTCTGGAGTGAGATGGAACCTCAGTGTTGTTTTAATTTACATTTCTTGAATGGCCAGCTGTGTCGAGCATTTCTTTGTGTATTTATTTACTGGTTGTATTTCTTCATTTGAGAAGTAGCTATTAATTTCATATGCCCATTTTTTTATTGGATCTTTAAATTTGGGAGAAGGTCTAGTTTTCTGAGTTTTTAATATATTCTATAGGGGCTGGGGATTTAGCTCAGCGGCAAAAGCGCCTGCCTGGCAAGCGCAAGGTCGTGAGCTCGGTTCCTGGTACCGGAGAAAAACCAAAAAA